ACAATTTACTCTGTAAATTCGCCAGGTTCTAGTAGGAGAAATGGCGTACCCTAGCTTACGTGGCTTTCTACTAATCGGTTCGTTCGCCTCGTACTGTCTCGGTATCCTGCTGGTTTACGCTTTGGGAGCATCTTTTAATTGGGACATTGTGGCCTTTAGCGGCGTCGTGCTTCCTATTATAGCTTTTATCGCTCTCTGTTTGGTGCCCGAAAGTCCGGCCTGGCTCGTTAGACGGAAGAGAGATGAAGAAGCCAAGAAGGCCCTTTTATGGCTCAGAGGTGGCGATATAGAGCAGGTAGAAACTCGTAAACTTGCGTATTACAGGAACATAAAGAAGTAAATGAGCTAAATATTGATGCGACAGTATCACGATGATGTAATTAAAGCGAAACTGTTTTTAATTAATTAGATGAATGCCGAAATAGCTCTCTTGAATACGGGGATGAGAACGGATCTGACTGAGAAGCCTGTAAATGTCTCGCTGAAGAAAAGGATCTCCTCGGTGATGTCCACTGTACGAGATCCGGGCGTGCTGAAACCATTGATTATCATTAACGTATTCAATATTCTTCAATTGAGCAGCGGAACGTACATTATCGTGTTCTACGCCGTCGATATGATGAAGGATATCGGTGAGGAAGAGTGTCAATTTCATTTTCCGGCGAAACTTTAATTTCCGCCCGAGCAAATCTTTAAAGTAGATGTATCTAAACGAGCAACTTTTATCGCGCAACTCTTGCTCTTGTAGGCGGCGGCGAAGTCGATAATTATTTGGCGGCCGTGGTGACGGCAATCATCAGATTTATCTTCTCCATTGTATCTTGCGTTGTTCTACTTAAAATGGGCAGGCGATCCTTAGGTATCATTTCGGCGCTAGGCACGTCCTTGGCTTCGTTGACTCTCGCGGGATACATGATCGCCCGGAAGGAGGAATCTTCCGTAGACGTGAGTATCCCAATTGCTTTGTTCTATAATTCGTGTATAACGCATCGATGAAACTTGACGAACAATTTCAGGCTTATGTGTTAGCCGTATGTTTGTTATTTTACGTCGGTGCGAACACCGTGGGTCTGCTGACGCTTCCTGGACTGATGACCGGCGAACTAATGCCCCTAAGGGCTCGAGGTATCGGTGGCGGATGCATCTTCTTCGTCTACAATCTACTTTTGTTCTTCATTACCAAGTGCTTCCCATGGGTATAATATTTAAAATTAATATTTATATTATATTTACAAAAGTTGATTATAAAAAATACCGCGTGTGCAAGATGAAAATCTTAAAAAGTATACTTTTGTTTCTATTAACATATACGCGCGCAAGTGAAATATCCTACGTATTTCCGGTGTTCTCTTTTTAAAAAAAAAA